GCGGCGCGGTGCTCAACAGAAGCCCGCTGCGAGAGCGCTCTTGGACAGTCTTCGCGCTCGTAGACTACTTAGGATCAAGGGAACAGCATTCACTTTGAAGCGCAGGCCTGCGTCGCACGGTCTCTCTGGCCAGGCTCCCGCCGCTCGCGCACGTCAACGTTGACGAGTTCTGATTCGTCTTGTCTGCGTCGGTGTTAAAGTATTATGCTTGCGCCCTTTCCCCTCGTCGCCGCCCCCATCTGCCTCAGAAGCAGGGCGAAGTATTGCACCTGTAGCAGTCCGTGGGGATCTCCGAATGGTCGCATCGCGAGCCTCGCGGGGCCATCTTGAGGATGTGGAGGAGGAGGAGGAGCAGCAGCAGAAGGATGGGGGGGCAAAAGGAGGAGAAGGGCAACTCGGAGGAGGAGGAACAGCAGGATATTCTCCTGCTCCTGATCCTGCTTCTCCTGAGGAGAAGCAGGATCAGGAGCAGGAGGATAAACGAAGTAAGCATTATCACCCCCTGCGCGCTTATACGAAGCGAAAGCAGGAGGAGCGCACATTATACCACACTCGTCCCCTCACACACACATATATATATATATATACATACATATATGTATATATATATATACATATGTATATATATAGAGGTAATATATATATGTATATATATATAAAAACCATATTTACATATTCATATTCATATATCACAATTGTCACATGGATCGTGCTCCATCCGCGGCCTCAGCGACAAGCTTGGCTTAGCGTCCACTCGCCTATGTCGGCACACTCCTCACAGGGATCGCGCCCCACAGGGAGCTCTACCTACGTCCCCAGAGACAAGGTTCGCAAAGTGGCACGACCCTCACGCGGATCGTGCCCCGCAAGTAATTGCATGTGTGGCGCCAGAGAGAAGCTTCATAGCGTCGCCCAGCTCACTTCGGCAAACCTCTCACACGGATCGTGGCATGCAAGGAGTTCCACGAATGGCCCCAGAGACAAGGCTCGCATCACGCCCCCCCGCCTACTTCGGCACACCTCTGACAGGGATCTTCACCTACGGCCTCAAAGGCATGGTCCACCTAAAAGCCCAGAGACAAGGTTCGTACAGCGCCCACCCGCCCATGTCGGCACACCCGTCATGTGAATCATACCCCAGAAGGAGATCCACCTATGGCACCAATGGGCAGCTTCGCATGGCGTCCCCCCGCCCATTTCGCAACATGCCTCGCACGGGTCGTGCCCGGAGAAGGTCCACCTGCGGCCTCAGTGGGCGTGTTCGCGCGGGGGCATCCGAATTATTCGGCACGCCCTTCACGCGGGTCGTGCCTCACAAAGAATTCAGCGCACCCGTGCACGCGTGCTCCGCAGCAGCCATATTTCCGCATTGCCCCGCGGCGCGCAGTGTATGAAGAGAGCCCCGCGCCCTGCGCTACACATAATTGCATAGGGATGGGTCCGTCGCCGAATCTGCTTGCTTATGGAACAACATCCCTCTCGGGGCGCATCTTGGAGCCCTCTTAGGATGTCATCAGGGCCTCTTGGGCTGTCTGATTCGGGCGTCTTTGACCCTGTCAGGCCGCTGTGGCTGTTGGGTAGCCTCCCGAACTGTATTAGCGGGTGTGGGGAGGCCCAGGAGGCCCAAGAAAAGGTCAAACATGTTGTGAAATTCGGAAAGGGTGTCCGGGCCCGGGCCCCAGGCGCCCAATACCCCAGCATACTATATATATGTATATATATATATGTATGTTTGTATATATATATATATATATATATGTATATATATATGTATATGTATATGTATGTACATATATATACACATGTATATGTATTTGTGTATATATAGATGTGTGTATATATACATGTTTATATATGTATATGTATATGTATATGTATATATATACATATATATACATAGCTCTGTAACAATGTACTGTGCATGAATTACATTCAATATCACATGTGGGGCACCTGTCGGTCCTCACCAGGCCCCAATGTCCTTGTCTGCTCCGTATCCTGAATTCTCCCTCTTTCTGGTGCGAATCGGGTGGGGGGACTTGGAAATACCTGAAACATCGGAGTAACCTCATCAACGCTGATATGAACTGGGCCGTGCGATTCGGACACAATTCCCCTGAAGTAGTAACCCACGCATGGCTTCACCTTGAAATTAAAAGGTACGAATCACGCGGGTTGAGCCGAGACCAACGGTCCCAAAGGAAGGCAACGTTCACAAAACCTCACACAGATCGTGCCCCCCCGTGAGCTTCACTTTCGGATCCAAGGACACAGTTTGCATGGCGTCCCTCCCCCCATCCCGCTTCACCTTTCACACGGATGGTGCCGCACAGGGATGTAGTTTTCCATGTGGCCCTAATGGGGCGAGTGGCACATCGTCGCGCTCCCTTGTGGATGTTGGCTGTCTCCTCGCGCGGATCGTACCAACAAAAAACTCCACTGACAAACCCGGAGCCAAGGTTCGCATCCCGTCGCCCCGCCCATGGCGGCAAACCCCTGACGTGAGGTCGGGACGTCTTGGGTGCCTCTCGGGGCCTCGCGGCGTGTTGCCCAACGGCCTCTTGAAACCCTGAAGCGGATCGTGAGTTGGGGGCCTATGGGAGCCTCTCCGGGAACGCCGTGCAGGACGTAGACGCGAAACATCTCATACGCTTCTTGGGGCCTATTTCTGAGGCCCCCTGGGAGCCTCCTGGGGGCTTCTTGGGGGTCTCTTGGAGGATCCGGGGGGCTTTATCGGGGTCTCCTGGGAGCCTCTGGGGCCAGGAAGCCCCAAGATACTCCCTAAGATGCTGTTGCCTCCTTGTCATCATTTCTCCTCCTCCCCCTCCTTCTCCCTACCACGCGGATAAAGATAAGGTCGAGTTCGCGACCTGTCTTAGTTCAGACGGATCGCTAAACTGCACATGGGCGGGAACTCGACCTCCACCCTAACCGCGCGGACGGCGACGAGGTCGAGTTCACGACCAGCCCCAACTCAGACCAGTCCTCGAAATTGCGCTGTCTTACGCTCGATATCTTACAAGCTGCGCTGTTGCGCAAGCGCTGTGGCGGGGTTTGCCGCAGGCAGCTGGATAATTCACTGTCTAGGCTCGATGCTGGCGACAACGCACTTTTGGCGTCGCTGTCACGCGCGCGGCGGCAAGGCGTATAACAAATCGAGCACGCGCGCATGCTGGCCCGGCTCGCGCAGCGGGGAGACGCAGGCAAACACACTTTTGTTTTGCGTCGGCGGCTATGCAGAGTGACTGCGCTGGCGGATAAGGCATGTGTAGGGCGCGCAGATGCGAATTAAGCCGCAATGCAAGGGAGATGAGGAGGAAGGCTGGGCACGGGCTGGACGGAGGGGAAGCCGGGCCAGCTCAGAGCGGGGCCAGGCCGCGGCAGGGGCAACGCTGGGGCAGCGGGGCGGCAGCCGCGGGGCATCCGGGGGCGGGCACCAGCCAGGGGCGGCAGCGCCGGGCGGGGGGCACAGGCCCAGCCTATGCTGGGAGCGGGCAGCGCAGCAAGGCAGCCGTGCGCCGAGTTCGGGCCGACCTTCCAGGCGACAGGGCAGCCGGAAAAGACCACCTCAGGGGAGGGGCCGGGCAAACACACACACACACAACACAACACAACACACTGCAGCACAGCACAACACAACACATCACAACACAACCAACACACAACACAACCGACAAAACCAACACAACCAACACAACTAACACAACTAACACAACCAACACACACCACACACAAACACCCAAACACACAAGCAGACAACTAGACAAATAGACAAGCATACAAACAGCCAAACAGACACACAAACAAAACCACAAACACACAAACACACAAACACAACAACATAGAACAACATAAACACATAACACACACAACGACACACATACACAAACACATGAACACACAAACGCACAAACACACAGTCACACAAACACACAAACGCACAAACGCACAAACACACAAACGCACAAACACACAAACACACAGGCACACACAAACACAAAAACACAAAAACACACAAACACACAACCACAACACCACGCAACCACACAACCACACAGCCACACAACAACAGAAACACATACAACTACACACAAACACATAAACACAGAGACACACACATAAACAGACACACACACAAACACACACAAGCACACACAAACACACACAAGCACACACAAGCACACACACAACACACGCACACACAAACACACACACACACGCACACACACCAACACACTCGAACACACACAAACACAAAAACAAGCACACACACAAACATACACAAACACCACATACAAACACACAAACACACACACGCAAACACGCAAACACACACACACAGCACACAACAGACACAAACAGACACCAACAGACACAAACACACAAACACACACACAAACACACACACACGCACACACACACACGCACACACGCGCACACTCACGCACACACACGCACACACATGCACACACACACGCACACACACAAACGCGCGTATGTATTTCTATATCTGTATATATATATATATGGCATACATACTTAGCTAGTCACATCGGTATGTTCTTACATATCAGCATCAAAACGGGGGACAACACATACGCCCCCAACACCGAACCCCTATTCTTGGCCCTGGGGGCACTCTGGGCGCCCATGCAAAGGGTAACCTGGTTCTTCAGGGCCTCCTGGACGCTACTGCCCAGCCCAACCACTGCGACCAACGTGGTCAGGAGGGCGGCCAAATGGTCCCGCGAGTGCCCCAAGCAGCCACAAATACCTCATAGACGCCATGAGACGACATAGACGCCATGAGACGACCTTTCTAAGACCCCGAAGAGGCTCTCCGAACGGATCAAATAATATACATATATGCATGTCTGTGTGTATGTATGTATGTATGTTTGTGTGTATGTATGTATGTATGTCTGTCTGTATGTATGTATGTATATATATATATATATGTATATATGCGTATTTGCATATATACATGTATGTGTATATATGTATATTCTGATGGCTTCCATGGGATTTCGGAATGCTCGGTTCTTCGGTTTTCCCAGCGTCCGAGACCGCCCACGAGGCCATCCATATTGTCCTCAAGACGTCTACGTAACATGTGCACTGTACTCGGCTTGTACTAACAGATCGAATGGAGTGTGGCTGGTCCACCGTCAAAGTCAACAGAACCCGACACGTCGTCTACATACATGGGTACACATGCAACAGGGCGGATATCCATCAACACTCCGCATGGGCGCTGCGGAAATCAACAATAATAACGACGCTGCCTACCCTTTGTCCATTACGAAACCGCTCCCGCGCGAACTGGTACTCACGGCGCATCGAATGACATCGCCGGCCCATGTACCCTGCAACCAATCAAATTCTGAGTAGTTGTCGCGATGCACTTAGAGCCCGCCTGGTTGACACTCGCATTGTCGCGTCATGCTGCACGCAATTTCGAACAAAACGGTTACACATGCACGTATGTCCTGCGTCCGTGTATTTCCAGCTTTGCGGAAGCTTGGCTACGAAATTGCACAACTTTCGCAACGGACTTACAAACCTCTTTGCATTTGTTCTACGTGTTGTGGTGGGCGGATCTGAAAGGCTCGGCTATATGCGAGCATGAGTTTCCGGATAACCAGAATAATTTGTATCAGTCTGACGCCTTTACCAAACATGGACAAAGACTGGACAGCGCAGCCTGTGCTTGTCTTCCCGACCGCAAGCGAATTGGATAGCTGCTGTGATAGCTGCCGTTGCGGCGCCATCAACTCAAATTTTCGCCCGATGTGCCACTGCCCCCAGTCAGGAAGAGGGAGGAAGCAACGAAGGAGAGATGAGCAAGGAAGGAGCGCCACGGCGGGGGGCTATACTCCGCCGTGCGTCCGTCCGCGCTGGCTGCCATTCCGACGGTGCTGGACGACAGACCAATCAGGCCAGAAGACACTGATCATGATGAGACGAGGGTGGATCGAGTAACCCCCCATCACCGCCACTCTGGCGGCGTGTTCCTGCTCATGCCTGCGCCGGGGGCGATCTCTGTCGATGTGCCCTGCGCGCCGAGCAGCGCGCATCCAACAGGCCACAAACTATGAATCGCTATGGGTAATCCTGGGACGAACGACTGCACGTCTCGCGTGGCTTTTGGCCTCGCTTATGCTGCCTTCCGCCCAACTTCCGCCGCTCTTGCTTGAGCCCTGCCAGAGACGAGCAGATGTACCGTTGGAATTGCAAGAAGTGCCAGCCCCTGCTTCGTCAAAAGACGTACACATTCCTGCAACGTGCCATGTACGCACACGGCAGCGTCTCGACTTTCCTTCGGTAGAAAACAAGGCTGCATTATTAATCAAAGGCAGGTCCTGCAGCGTCCGACGCCCATTTTGAAACCAGCTCGAAACACGAATCGCACGCTGAAGGTGCTGAGCAATCCTTTGGGCGCGCAGACGAACACCTGCTGAGCAGAAGAAAACTGTAGCATCAACACGAACAAGCACCTCGACAATACCATACCCCCGGCCCTAGAGGCGCAACCACCTTATGTGGATGGGTGAAGAACGTCTGTTCTAAAGGATTGACTGTGTCCTCTCGCGGTCAGTGGTCCAAACACTCAGAATCACAAATTCACGCCGGGCGCAACAGCGCCAATAACTCAACGCTTGTCTGGACCGCCTTCCAGGTTCCAGCTTGCCTCCAAGCCAGCCTTTCCCCAAGCGGTCCCCAACTGGTCGAACTCCAACATGTCGCCCTCGTCGTCTAGCCTCGAACGACCAAACAAGCAATTGTCAATATTCGAATGGCGAACGATATTCGTGAGACCCTCGTTTCCGACCCGGTTCCAAAGGTTGCAGCCTCCATGCTGGACGACGCTTCGAACGGACGTTGCTTTCTTTCGCCGAGCAAGCGTACATTGCACTGGAAAGCCTGGAGACGCGATTGCGAATTGCCTGAGTACCGAATTCCCTCTCAAGTCGACGCCAAACTCAAGCACATCACTCCGCACCCCATACACACAACTTCCCCATCTGATTCTTGATGCTCGCTCGTGAGGTTGACTACTCTTACTCTGAGCGATGACCTGGCCATGCCTTTTTGAGCGATCTAGACTTTGATCTAACTCGGGTTGCCATGAGCTCTTGGCACGGACATCCGATCACAAATGTTTCCACAAACGCGGATTTAGACACAGCAGTCGGTCCCGTGCTCTAACATGCCACGCTTGGCACCACGGACACGAACTACCAACTGATCATAACCCAATTGCTGATGCTTGCTTGCAAAGATTGGAAGCCGGAACCATCATGTACTGGTAATATCGATGCATACTGCAATTGACTAATACAAGCAACACATTGTCAATTATCATGCAGATGGTACGTTTAAGGGAAGAGGAGCGAGCGACCGACCTGGTCATCTCAAGGTCCTCATCATCATCGAACTCTGCGAAATCCATGCCAGCAGCCTGAACAGTTCGTCGAACACATGCGCAAGTGTACGTCACTTCGGAGACAGTGGTCAATACTGGACACACAGTGCGAACTTATGTAGTGTATCCTGGTGACTAATCCCATTCAAAGTTCTTGGGCAGATGTCTGAATCGCTCGTGCGCTGCGCAAGACAGGCTAAGGTACGATCCGCATGCTGGGAGGACCTCAAACGATGGCCGCACGCTGCATCACACATCTTCACGGTTGCCGAACTGGACCCCAATCATTCAGTAATGGCAATCTGGACGTGCAGACAATGTTATGTAATCTATATGTTGAGTAAGCCATGTCGTGCATGCTGTCAGGTGCAAGCTATGTGGTGTAAGATCTGTGGTGCAAGGTATGCGGTGCATGATATGTGGTGTAAGCAATATGGTGCTGTGCATGAGCGGTAAGCTATGTTGTGTAAGATATGTCATGTAAACCATGTAGCACAATGTACGTGGTTTAAGCTATGTCGTGTAAGCTATGTGGTGCATGCTCTGTGCTGTAAGCTACGCGGTAAAAGCTATGTTGTCCAAACTATGTGGTGCAAGCTAGGCGGTGTAAGCTGTGTGTCGTGGGCCATGCAGTGTAACCTATGTGGTGTACACTGGGTGGTGTGGGCAATGTGGTGTAAGCTATGTGATGGTAAACTGTGTTGTGCAAGCTACGTGGTGTGAGCGTGGTGTAAGGTATGTGGTATGAGCTATGCGGTGTAAGCCACGTGGTGTGAGCTGAATGCTGTAAGCGAGGGTGGGCGGCGACGATGCGCCCAAGCGCGCCCACTGGGCGAACACCTGACCACCAACCACGCACGCGGCGCCCACGGGGCGCCCACGGGCGCCCACCGAGCGAAAACCTGACCACCAACCACACCGCACGGGGCGCCCACGAGGCAACCACGGGCGCCAACCAGGCGAAAACCCCCACAACCAGCCACCACACGCGAGGCGCCCACGAGACGTGCACGGGCGCCCTCCGGCGAAGTCAATTACCTTAAATACGGATAAGAACGCCCAAATCCAGGCACTGTTTTGGTAAACGTATACACGCACACCTGGCAAGCAAGCGTGTAGACTTGCCGAAACGAGTCAGACTTGGGCAGGCCATCCAGACCTGCCGCGCAAGCGTGTGGTCATGCTGGTGATGGCTGATGTAAGCTTAACAAACGTTAATGGTATTTCTAATGCTGCATGTGCAATCGCGGGCACGCCTGCGTTATTGAGAAAGACTGTGATTCTCAACAAAGGACACTAAACGTGACCTCAATCCCTGGCAACATGACCCACTATCACCGCTAAAGGCACTCGATCTGCGCGCCGTCAAGCCGTCGGAAAGTACCAACTCCAAATTCCAAGCCTCGGGGCGCGCTTGCCGCCCTCTTCCCTGGAACAATACCGTGTGCGTTTCTCAACTGCCTGCAACGGCGCACATGTACAACAATGATACCCAATGAGCGTATAACAAATGATATTCGGACTCGGCAACACGTGCAGAAGAGCTGCGCCATCCAACACGCATTGTTGGTACAAGCTGCTGGGAAATAGCCAGCCGCAAGGGTACACGAAGCTTGACCATATTCCCCTTCTCCTCGCACTCTCCTTTCTCTCCTTCTTTCCCTCATTCGAAGACAGTCTTCTCTGGAAACCCTGGCTTCTATCCAAGTGGATATCCAAAACACACCTTACCCATATTCCTTTCCAAAAGATGCTGCCGCACCTCAACTCAACATGGATGGCCTCCAAATCTATGATTTGCTAACTGCCGCGTGTTTTTGGCCTCCCATCCCAGACGTGAGCTTTTTGGGGGAAAGCGGCCACATGAGGTGATTACTCGTGCTCCTGATACTGCCCTTGCTCCTGTAACAATATCCTGTCCGTCCAGTCTTCCGATGTCATGGGCAACTGGTTCCAATGTCCGCACTGGGCACTGCCATCTTGTCCGCACACGTTACCCCAGGGCTCGCCGTGGAAGACGGGCAGAGACTTGCGCGGACGCGATACTTGTCGAGCACAGACTTCATCGCCTCCCCTTGACGGCAACGCTGCGGCTGGGAGGTTGGAATGGGAAGGCGGCAATTGGCCAAGGGGACCATCCGCAAGCATAACACGCAGGGTTTGTCATTGGAGCCCGCCGCCAGCGAGCTCGTCATGCGTAGGGGGAACCTTGCGCGTTCCGATTGGGATGCAGCCCCCTTAGGGCGCAGCCTGGGCCTCGAGTGTGGGGGAACCAGCTTGCCTCATGGAATCCTCGGGCTCTTCTGCTGTCTCAAGCGATGTCGCGCGCTTCTCGACCACGGCCAGCAACACAACAAAGTGGATCAGCGCAACTTTGCCAGTGAAGCCCAGCGCTGGCAGACACCCGGATAACAGAACTGAAGAAGTACTGAACCGATCCAGAGGATAGAAAGAGAGAGAGAGAGAGAGAGCGAGAGAGAGAGAGCTAGAGAGAGAGGGGGGAGAGAGGGGAGAGAGAGGGGGAGAAATATATATATATATATATATAGAAAACAAGATAGGTAGAGACAGAGAAAGCTATCAGTATGTTTACGTATGTATTTATCTATTTATTTATTTTTGTATATATGTATATACATAGGTGCAGAGAGATAACAAAGAAGAGCGGGAGGAGAAGGATGAGGATGATGCTGATGATGAGGAGGATACCGGCGAACCCTTTGACTGAACAAGCTGCTGCTGCCCTGCAGGAGGGATCTTGACCACATCGGGATAATCAGCATCAAGGGGGGGAACTTAATCGTGTCGAAGGCACTTCGATCCCTACGAGACTTTGGACGGCTTGCGAGAAAGCCTCCGCAACTTGTCCACCCATCTCCGCCCCCTGATTCCCCAGATGCGGTCAAACGCAGCAGCGCAAGGGCGGCGGCGATGTAGATTTCGCCCACGGCTCGAGGGGCCCGACCTTATTGCCCGACGACTCACGACTCGGCAAGTGGTTTCACTCCCTGGGTAACTACTGACAACGAGCTCGCACGGGGAGCCAACAACTACCTTCAGCGCTCGGGGTGACTGTGGTACTCAGCAGGGTCTGGCTCGAGGCTCCCGCAATAGCGAAAAGGGAAGCACTAGCTGATCCTGCAGAAAGCAGTATCGCTAAGATCGAAGCCACGCACGACTCGAATCGGCAATTCGGACATTCGGACGGTGTGCTCTGACGACAACGTACGGGTAGCCGCATCGAGACGAAGCGTCTTGATAGGAATGCCAATGCCCAGCATGTCCTCCCAGTCGCCAACTAGCCCAATACCCTCACTGCAAGGCGAAGCGATCCCTTCCCACATTGCCCTGGCCTCCACCACGTCGCCCAACAAAGACAGTGGAGCCTTGGCCTGGGACCGACACGCACTCACCCACCGCAGCACTGCAAGACTGCTCATCAACAGGAAAGAACGGTTCCCTCTTGGGACCTTGCAACCAACTGCCTGTAAACTTGTCGTCGTGATGCCCCCCAGGATTGCCCAGGGGAACAGTGAATGTGCGAATGCCAAAAACACGCATCATCAATCTACCATGCCCTGTGGGATAACCTGCCACATCCATACCAGCCTCGCTGTCATGCTTGTATTGCTTCTTCCACGGATCGATAAGCCACTCGGCTGCTGCACTCCTGGTCACCTCCAACATTGCTGTCTCCTTCTTGCACCGATTCGCACTGCAAGCTCCTTCGTGGGCGCCGTCCTCGGCTCCCGTGTAAAATCTTGAAATTTCATGGTGCCAGTCCATTGCTAGACATGACGCCGTATGGGGACGATTCCCGAGCGGCACTCACGATGGGGAACGGTGCCCCCGCTGTGTAAATCAACGCCAAGCTTTAGAACTATGCTCCCCCCGTCTCGTCGTCGTCGTCCTGCTCTTCTTCCTCTCACACTACTCCTCCCCCCTGTTCCAGCAATCTAGAAATTCCAGGGCGTCTGTATTGATGGTCAAGCTTATCCGTCTCCTTTTGTTGCAACTGCAGCCGCCGCGACATATGCTTCTCCTCCTCCTCCTCCTCATCTTTTTCGTTCTCCCCAAAGTCCAATTCCTCCTCCTCCTCCTCCTCCTCCTCCTCCTCCTCGCCATCGCCCATGTCCACATTACCCTCATCCATCCGCCTCCAACTCCGCGCGCGAGCGCTCTTGAGGGGTGCAAGCCCACACGCTGTAGACTGGATCGGCGCAGGTGGGCAGCTCGCAAGCGTCGATGACGAAGTCTATGCCTCGGGGCCCCTTCGTGTGAGGCGGGGCAGTATGAGGACGAGGGCGTCTCGCACGGGGCCCAGCTCCTTCCTTCCACCCCCGTGCACATATTGACATGTTTGCCAGCGTGGGCCCCGGACAATGGTCTCTTGCTTTCTCGATGCGCAACCTGCGTGCCGGAATCGACGTATACTGCACCGTGTGTGCTGCAAACTGTGCGGTCCATTCGATGTGGCGCAATTCATCATCATACCTACCGATGTGACCTCGCACTTCATTATTTCGACCGTCCAGCCGTCCATGTCCTGGATGCGTCGTCCTCCAGAGTGCCCTGGAGGTGTCCTGGCGGATTCCCTGGAAGCCTATGTCCTTGATGTGTGCGATCATGGAAGCTTATTCCGACCGTCCGACCGTCCGGCGCCCCCATCCCCCCGCTGGCGCCTGGCCGGGGGCTTCTTCTGGCCGTCCAGCCGTGCGGCGCCCCCCCGCCCCCCGGGGCCCCTCCCCTGGAGGCTCCTTCCAACCGCCCGACCGTCGGGCTCTGGAGGCTCCTCTGCCCCCTCTTCCCCTGGCACCCCCGCGCACCACAATTACTCAATATGAATACTACTCTCTCTCTTCCCCTGATGGCGTGCTGGGAGTAGTAGACCCCCCCCCGCGTACTGTTTTCTAACACACAGGATTCCCGGGAGTTGGGTTTTCGCATGCGTTTTTTTTTGCTGTTTTTTTTTGTTCCTTCCAAAATGCTGCTCTCGCTAAGGCGCCGGCCTCATTTCTGCTCCCGAATCGTTCCGAATCGTGCTCCCGCTGCAGCGTGGGCCTCATTTTCGGATCGGTGTTTTGCCTCCGTCGTTCAGGATGGCGTTCTCGCCCCAGCGCGGGCCTCTTTCTCGCGCGCCCATCCGCCCGCCACCACCGCGCCGCACCACGCCTCGCCCCGCCGCACGCACACCCACCGCCACTTCCACCCACGAACGCACGCACGCACGCACGCGCACCACCACCGCGCACCGCCACCACCACCGCACTACCCCACCCACCACCACCACCACGCTACACCGCGTCACACCACATCACACGCGCGCACACAGACACACACGCACGCACGCACACACACACACATACACACGCACACACACACACACGCCCACACACAGACACACACACACACACCACCACCGCCACCACCACCACCGCCATCACGCACGTACGCACCTGACCCACCACCAAACCACCAAGACGCCACACCACGTCACACCACAGCACACGCGCACACACGCACACACACACACACACATACACACCACCACCACAACAACCACAACCACGCACACACGCACGCACGCACGCGCACCACCACCCACTACGCACACGCGCGCGGAGCCACAGGTTCGCTACGACACGCGTCCGCGGATAGAGAAAATCAGCGCCATGGTAAGGGATGGGAGGGAGGGGTAGGATGTCAGATGTTGACGCGAGCGCACCTAACTTGCCTGGCCCCCCTCCCCCAGAAGCTTGTTCTGGCCGGCTCCTGCTCCGGAGGACATTTCCGACCGTCCGACCGTCTGGCGCTAACCCAGCGCCCCCATGGCGGCTTATTCCGAGCGTCCTCCGGGAGCTTCTTCCGACCGTCCCACCGTCTGGCGCCCTCCCTCCCCAAGCACCCCCTCTGGGGAAATACTCCAATCGTTCGACCGTGAAGCTCCTCGGGCGCTTCCCCTGGAGCGTTATCCGACCGTCCGACCCACTGGCGTTCCACCGCTCCACCAAAGTTCTGTCTAGTCCGCGGCGAAACCACCTGTCCCAATGCTGGTTCCCTTCCTCACTCCGCGCCCCCTTCCTCCCCCCCATCGCTCCCCATTCCCTCCCTCCCTGCATCCTTCCCCTCCCTCCCACCCTCTGTCAATTTGCCGCAGACGCTTCATCGCCATGCCCTCGGCAAATTCACCGTCCCCCAATGCTGTGATGCAGCGCGTTAGCGTTCCGCCACGCGCTCGCTTATCACCATTGGGTGACGGTGGACTCGTCGAGGGCGTTTTGATGAAGTCCTGCTTATATCTTTACTACGTTTGCCATGGCGTTCCTCCTGGGGGCTAGCATTTCGCTCCATCGAAATCCGACCTCGCCCTTCATACCGAGATCGTTTTGAAGTCGAAACCGTGTGCGCAATCTAAAGCACCATGCATGGTCGCTCCCGGGCGTGTCGCAACACTCGCGCAATCTGCCGCGACTGCCAAAACGTGGCGTAACCGCCATCCCCCCTCCTTCCGCACCCGTGGTTGTATGATCCTTGGCACGCGTGCCTCTATTTTTCGTAAATCTTGCGTTGTCAACTCCATTGCTCGCTCAAGCATCCCACCCTCCCACCTGCAAGTACTTCTGCAAAACCCATGCGACCGCGACTGCGGTGACTGCTTGGCGCTGGCTGGCGCATTTCCGCGGCTGCGTTGGCGCGCGCAACCTCGCACGCAGAGCGGCCAACTGGTTTGGCACGGGTGATGCGGCCGCGAAGACCCTTACTGGTTGGAGCATCCCAGCGCGCCTGAAGGGCCACGCTGGCGCGCGGTCGCTTCAATGCGGGTCGGTGACTCGGGCGGGCGCAGTATCATCATGACGTCGATAACGGCGGCAACGATGCTGATGATAGCGGTGGTGGTGGCGATGGTAACGATGACGGTGGCAAGGCCAACGACGGCGCCGATGCTGGTGACGACAATGGCGATGGTGATGTCCATGTGCCGGGTGTGAAGGTGAACATTATGTGGTTTTCCTATGGCTTCAGCAAGTACGCGCAGACAGAACATCTGCAACACCTTTGATGACTAATCGATTTTGTTTTAACTGTTCTCTGGCTCACATCGTAACGCTTGCACAGAACATGTGTTTGGTCGGGTTCGAACATGCGCGCGCGCTTGGACGTTGCACTTAGGGGTTCTTACTTCTCCTTAAAGGGCCTGGGCGTGTCTGTCGGTCTGTCGGCTATGTTGCCGCCGTCGCCGCCCCGTCGCCGCCTTGTCGCCGTCCGTCGTCTGGGCCTCGCTGTCGGTCTGGCGGCTATGCTCCCGCCGTCCCCGCCCCGTCGACACCTCGTCGCCGCCCGTCGTCTCGCCCTGTTTGTTGGTCTGGCGGTTGTGCTGTCGCCGTCGCCGCTCAGTCGCCGTCCTAGATTGCGCAACGTAGATTGCTCCGCATAAGTTGCACCATAAAGACTGCACCGCATACGTTGCACCAAATAGCCACATGGCTTGCACAACAGAGATTGCGCCGCATATATTGTACCCACTGTGTTGTTCAACGTCGCCTGCGCATCATAGAGTCCACAACATGTCTTGCACCAAATATAATGCACCACGTAGGGTGCACCGCATATATCGCACCACGTGGATTGCATAACATATATAGCACCACGTAGCGTCCACAACACATATTGTACGACGTAGATCGCATTTCATAGGTTGCACCACGTATATTGCGCAACATATATTTCCATTTCAGACATTATCCAGGCGAAGGACCCAACCAAATGCAGTTGTGGGTACCGCAATTGTGAATATCTTCTTCGGTGAAGCTCCCTATGGGGCCACGAAGCGCTGCACTGGGTGGGGGGGAGCTCATGCGGGCGGTAGCACTGGGGCCGTCGGTGGAGCTCCCTATGGGGCCACGAAACGCTGTACTGGGTGGGTGAAACTGCCAAATTGGGCTTCCAGGGTGCATGCGGGCGGTCCCACTGGGGGCTTCGGTGGAGCTCCCTATGGGGCCACGAAGCGCTGTATTGGGTGGGTGAAAATGCCAAATTGGGTTTCCGGGACGCATGTGGGCGGTACCACTCGGGAGCTCCTAATGGGGCCACCAAGCGCTATACTGGGTGGGTGCAAACGCCACATTGGGTGTGCGGGACGCATGCAGGCGTTCCCACTGGGGGCTTCGGTGGAGCTCCTCATGGGGCCATGAAACGCTGAATTTGGTGGGTGAAACTGCCAAATTGGGTGTGTGGGACGCATGCGGACGGTCCTACTGGGGGCTTCGGTGGAGCTCCCAGCGCTGTACTGGGCGGGTGAAAATGCCAAATCGGGTGTGCGGGACGCATGGCGGTCCCACTAGGGGCTTCGGTGGAGCTCCCTATGGGGCCACGAAGCGGTGGACTGGGTGTGGCGGACGCATGTGGCGCTGCCCCCCCCCCCCCCCTCTGGTGGGGTCTTAGGTGGAGCTCCCTATGGGGCCACGAAGCGCCGTAGCGGGTGTGGCGGACGTATGTGGTCCCCCCCTCTGGGGCCTTAGGTGGGGCTCCCTATGGGGCCACGAAACGCCGTACTGGGTGCGGCGGACGCATGTGGTCCCCCCCCTGGGGCCTTAGGTGGAGCTCCCTATGGGGCCACGAAGCGCCGGCATGTGGACCCCCCCCGGGGGCCTTAGGTGGAGCTCTTTATGGGGCCACGAAGCGCCGTAGTGGGAGTGGCAGACGCATGTGGTACCCCCTTTGGGCCTTAGGTGGAGCCCTTCATGGGGCCACGAAGCGCCGTACTGGATGTGGTGGACGCATGTGGTACCCCCCCTGGGGCCTTAGGTGGAGCTCCCTCTGGGCCACGAAGCGCTGTACTGGGTGGGTGAAACGCATGGAGGAGGGAAAAGGGGGAAGGAGGAGTGAGTGAGACGCGGGGCGCTGTCTCTTCAGAACGAGGAGCCAACACCACAGGATGGTTAGGAAATATACAGATCTGCCCCCCCAGGACTAACGACTCCCACTTCCGAGTTGCAATTTACATATGGTTTCGCCCCGTGGTCCATCCTATGTATGAGCTCGTATCATCCCAGGCCGCCTGGTATGGCCCCCCTTCATCCTCTGCAACCAATATTATGCGCGCACATTCGTTTATCAAGAATCAGGAATTTCGAAAAAACCCGTGCAACAAACGGCACGAAGCGCACACGCGCGCGTCGTCGCGCGCGCATGCCGGAATCCTTCGACAACCTTCGTTTTCGTAAGGATTTCAACATGGCTTGGCCCCCAAACATATGAAAC